CATGTACAACATGAAGGTCACTTCTGTCCTCAGAATTTGCCGCCTGCTGGAAAGAATCAGATATGAATCAAATCGCGCAAATAGTTTAGAAAATAGAATTGCTTGCAGTTAACATCTGTTCTCTTTGTAGGCTTGCTTGGCTCTACTGATCCAGTCGTTCTAGAACATGTACACGTGGCAAAAGTTTAATCGTCAGATGCTAGGTGTGTGGGCTATGCCTGCAGGGATCCAGAGAGTCTGAGGACATTTCTTGTGCCTTGATATATGGAGGACCCCACCCCAAACCCTTTCTTATGCTCGCCTTCAAAGCCTGTATGTATGGGGTGCCTGGTGGCTCAGATGATTAAGGGTCCAACTCCTGATTTGGGCTCAGGTCATGATTTCATGGTTCATGAGTTCAGGCCCTGCATCAGGCTCTGCACCGATAGCGTGGAGCCTGCTTGGGATTCTCTCTCTCTGTCTCTCTCTCTCTCTGCCCATCTCCCTCTCTGTCTCTCTCTTTCAAAATAAATAAGTAAACTTTTTAAAAATTTTGAAAAGAAAGAAAAAACAACAACCCTGTATGTATGATCTCAAGACCATGAGATCATGACCTGAGCCAAAATCAAGAGTCAGATGCTCAGGGATGCCTGGGTGGCTCAGTCAAGCGTCCGACTCTTTATCTTGGCTCAGATCATGATCTCACAGTTTGTGGGATCGAGCCCCACGTCAGGCTCTGTGCGGACCTCATGGAGCCTGCTTGGGATTCTCTCTCTCCCCCTGTCTCTTGTTCCCCCCCCACCCAAAATAAATAAAAATTAAAAAAAAAAGAGTCAAGACAGTCAACCAACTGAGCCAACAGGCACCCGTAGACCGCCGTTGTTTTTTAGACAGGAAGACTTGCAGGGCATTTTACTGGTGTATCCGCTCTAAGCGCCATTTACATTTTCACCGCATCATTTTCCACATGAGGGCGAAACCAGATGCTGTCCTTACTCAGAGAAAATCCAAGGCCATTCTTTTATTTCGCTGCCGGGGTTATTAAAACAAGATAGTCCTGGGGCGCCTGGGTGGCGCAGTCGGTTAAGCGTCCGACTTCAGCCAGGTCACGATCTCGCGGTCCGTGAGTTCGAGCCCCGCGTCGGGCTCTGGGCTGATGGCTCAGAGCCTGGAGCCTGTTTCCGATTCTGTGTCTCCCTCTCTCTCTGCCCCTCCCCCGTTCATGCTGTCTCTCTCTGTCCCAAAAATAAATAAACGTTGAAAAAAAAAAAAATTAAAAAAAAAAAAAAACAAGGTAGTCCGTGGGTTAAATACAATGAGGTCGATGAGTAACTCCAATTTCCCATAACGAACAAAATGTGACGATACAGAATTTCTCAGCACAGATAAGCACAACGGGCATCACAGTCTCCAGGCCCAGAGTCATATAAAATAAACCATCACAGTGTAAGTGGAATCTCACAGGGAAGCTGCTTTGCTGGTAGTGACTCGGTTTTACGACAGTAAGACACAGACCGAATGTCAGTTTGACTTTAAGTACAATCCCAGGGAGCTGAAGTTCTTTCCGCTCTCAGAGTCACACGTTTTCAGCACCGTGAGCTTGTCTACACGACATCGGACGGGGCCCAGCGCGGGACATCCTCAAGCACACCTGTGTCCACGGGCTCTTTACCCCGAGGTTGTCACTTGAATCTCGTTGCAACGCGTGGCCTCCGATGCCACCTAACAATTCTGTGCAACACGAAACCAAGGGCTGGGGAGTCAGATTAGTCACAGATCCCTGACTTCGGAGGCGGCCCTTGACCGCCGGCCACCGTCGGCAGGCTTAGGGGACCGTCAGCCGTGGGGCTCCTCCCCCTTGGCCGAGGGTGGGGCTCGGACACGAGCCTGGTCAATGGAACTTTCTCACCTGGGCTCGCCCGCTCACTCCTGGCCCACCTGCATTTGCTGTCCGGGCTCAGGCCACTTGCCGTTCTGCCGCAGCCCCAGCCCTCGCCCCCTCACCTCCCTCCCTCCTCACCCCACCCCTCCTCGCCCGGGTCCCCTGCAGAACGTGAACGGGGAAGAACGGAGCCTTCCTCGGGAGACTGTTGGAGGGAGGCTATGGTGGCAACAGGGATTAGAAACGTTGGAAGACGTTATGCTTGAAAGTGTGCAGACAGGAGCAACTCGGGGCGGCACATCCCTCCCGTGGCCACTGGGGGCGCTCTGTGCGCCCTCGCGTGTCCCGTGTGTGAGTGTGCGTGTGCCCCTGTGGGGGTGTGAGCAGCTGGGGTAAGACAAACGAGCAACCCCGGGGACCTTTGCCCGTGCCTCGTCAGCACCGTGAAGCCCACCCCCCACCACCTGCCTGATCAGGAGCAGTTCTCTCGCCACAAAGTCATTGAAGACTCTGGCCACGTTCCCAGCTGGAGCCGCCCCAGGAACGCTTCCCGGGCCTCCCGTATCGTCCGGACATTCTGCGGCCTGGAGGAGAACGTAGCTCCTTGTGGGCCACAGTAACCTGGCCACGCCCGGGAGACGTTGAAAGAGGTCCAGGCAGACCCCGCAGCCGTGGGAGACGGCTGGTGCCGAGGCCACGAGCTCCGCCGCCCTGCCCCCGGCTGCCCCGTCCTTCTGTGGCCAGGCCGCGTCTCCTTGCCTCTCCTTCCTACCTGCCCAGGCCAAGTTTTCCCCAGGCGTTCCCGGTGGCGTCCGTTCTCTCCAAACTCCAAGTCCAAGGAGAGGAGGCACCGGGATAGGTGCCTCCAGCCGGGGTTGGGCCAGAGCAGGCGAGGAGCCCCTAGTGGGTGAGGCCAGAGGGCTGGACAGGTGCCCCCGGGGGGGTTCGGCAACCTCAGGCCAGGTGAGGAATTTGCAGACGGCACCGGGTATTTTTTTTAAAGAGTTTTTTAATGTTTATTTGTTTTAGAGAAAAGAGAGGGTGCGGGAGGGGCAGAGAGAGGGAGGCCGAGGATCCAAAGCGGGCTCTGTGCTGACAGCGGAGATCCTGCGC